ATGTCCAGAGCCACATCCATTCAACAGTGTCTCCAGGGTTTAATGCAGTAGGGGGTGGCACCAGGATGTTGCTCTGCTGGCCATATCCTGGCTTCAATAACTCCTCTTTGGTTTGTACATACAGCTGTACAGGAGAGGCAGCATTGTGTGTTAATATATCTACAGGGCTCAAAGCTCCTTTTTGGGGCTTCTCATTCAAATACCGTAGCACTGTCCTTAAGTGAACTGACCAGCCCCATAGACTATTGGTGTCTGACTTCAGGCCAGATTTCAATAAACCATTGTACCTCTCTATCATGCCTGCCCTGGTAGGGTTATCTGGTACATGAAACTTCCACTTTATTTCTAATTGCTGCACCTATTCTTGTAACGCGTGTCCAGTAAAGTGGGTGCCTTGATCACTCTCAATCACCTGCGGCCGGCCATAGGCTGCGAAGAGATGCTCTAGGCCCCTCTTTGTGGTTTGCTGATCTGCACAACATGCAGGAAAAGCAACCATCAGTCCAGGAGCTGTGTCTGCACAAGTCATGGCATACCAATATCTTTCTCATATGGGCAGAGGCCCAATAAAGTCTATTTGCCACCTGACAAAGGGTATTGGCCCCTTTACTATTGTCCCATGTTGCTGTAGGACTAAGTGTAAGTCCCTCTCAGAGTACACGACACACTCCTTCTGGGCTCTGCTGACTTCTTCAAGGTCAATGGCAAGCCCCACCCACGGGTTTCAGCCCACATTGTCTTTTATCCTGCGTGCAACAAATGCTGGTGTAACCATTGGGCCACATCAGACCCAGGCTTTCCTTTTAGCACACAGCTGGGCCGATGTGTCTGCCTCATTATTCCCTGCGGATGCCAAAGGCAAATGGCCAGTCACATGATATACAGTAACAGTCTTAGTCTGACAGAGGCCCATAGGTCTTGCCACAGCTCTTGCCCTCAAAGGGGCTGGTGACCAACCATCCAATTGGCATGATACCACAGCGTCAAGCCCTGATAGACGGCCCAGCTGTCAGTGCAGACAACTATAGGGGAGGGCTCCTGGGTGATCATGAGCCATACTGCCTGCAACCCAGCCCACTGACTGCTCTTCCCCTCTCCATCCTCCATCCATATTGTCTCAGTCTTAGAATGGAAAGTCACAGCCCTCCACTTCAGGGGCTGCCCAAGACTGGAGCTGTCTGTGTACCAAGCATCATCAGGTATAGGGCTTTTCCCTCCTTATAAGGAGTCTCAGCTACCAATGTCTCAAACGCAAGTTCTTCATGCTTTCCACTGGTTTAGGTCACTGGCCCCAATAAGCATTGGAGTTCTCCACTTAAGGGGCTAGTAGAGATGCACTGTACTAGCCTGTACGTGTATGCTACTATAAACATGCACCCCATTTGGCCAGTGTATGTGTCTGTGCCATGCCACTCCATGGCCTTTGGGTCCAATCTCACACTGACTCTGCAATGGGATAGGTGGTTATTAACTTGGTCAGACCTGTCCTGGCGATGGGCTCCATAGCCAGCAAGGTGTGGTACAAAACAGCCAGTTGCTTCTCTATCAAGGTGTACTGGACCTCTGCTCCTTTCCATAGTTGTGACCAGAATCCAATAGGTTGGCATGTCTGTTCAAGCTGCTGCCAAAGACCCCATCCATAACCATCTTTAGTTACGTGAACATATAGCTCACAGGGCCTTGATGAGCCCATTACACTCAAGGCCTGTATGGCCTTGACTACTTGCTTCGCAGCAGTAAAAGCAGTTGCACATGTCTCATCTCAGTCCCATCTGATGCCCTTTTGTACCAACTGGTATAAGGGCTTCAGAATTTGTGCCAAGTGCAGTATAAACACTCTCCAGTAGCCCAAAAGACCAAAAAACTCTTGTAATACTGCCACAGTGGTAGGGGTGGGGAAAGCCTGGACCTTGTCTATGACTGCTTCAGGTATAACTTTAGGTTTACCTGACCGGACAACCCCTGAGAATTTTAGACAAACCAGGTCCCTGAACCCTGGCAGTCTAGGAACTGCCCCTTCTAAATCTGAAAGAGAATCAGACGTAAGCATTATATCATCAACGTAGTGATACAGCCGCACCATTTATGGTTTCTTCTGTGTGGCTAAGTCCTGGGCTACAAGTCTATGACAAATGGTGGGACTGGAGGTATCCATGTGGAAGGACAGTGAATGTCCACTGCCGGCCTTCCCGTGTGAAGGCAAACTATTCCTGACTTCCCTGTGCTTTGTCAATAGAGAAGAAAGCATTAGCAAGGTCTGCTACATAATGATATGTTCATGACTGGTGTCCATAAGGGCTGCCATAGAGGGGACAGCAGCATGCAAAGTGGGTGTGACTTTATTCAATTCCCTGTAGTCCACAGTCATATGCCAGGAGCCATCTGGTTTTTTTTTACTGATCACACCGGGGAATTAAAAGGACTGTGAGTGGGCTTTATGATGCCCACCTTTGCCAACTCCTGTAGAGTTTTCCAATTTCCTTGTGCTCCCCAGGCAATTTATACTGCTTAGTATTTGTCACCCACTGAGGTACAGGCAGAGCTACAGGTGGGTGCTTAGCATGTTCCCTTAGCAACTGCCTTTACCACACGTACCCTCAGTCTGAACTCACCTGCAGTGGCCTGTAACCACAGGCCCTGCAGGATGTCTACCCCCAAAATATATTCAGGGATGGGAGAAATGTACACAGTATACTCCTCTGGGGGTAAACGCCCTATCCCCAATGGGATTTGGGCTTTCTTCACTCTAATTGCCTTACCCCGATAGCCATCTATCACAGCAGGGGACCCGGGAAAATGCTCAGGGTTGCTCCAAATCAGAGAACACTCAGCTCCTGTGTCCACCAGAGCCAGGACATGTACATTCATAGGGTACCAATGAGTTCCTAATTCTACATGTGGAAATGCCCTTCCCTATAGTTGTCTGCACTGACAGCTGGATGGGTTAAATGCCCTAAGGACACAGAAGCCAGTTTGACAAAGCTTCTCCTGGCCAATCTGAGCATCAGAATTAATAGTGACAGTACACAATAAAAAGGAATTTCTATGAAGAAACAAAGCAAAGGGGCGAGAGAGAAGGGAAAACTCTTCTTTTCAGTGGAATGCCATAGAAGGACCCTGATAGAATTATTACGGGAAGCTAAAACCATTAGGTGAAACTTTCTTGGGTGTCAAAGATAAAGAAAGCCAGATATTAGTTAAAGCAGTGTAAAAAGATTTTATTCAGTAACTACTGACAGAAGGGAAAGAGCTGAACACCATTCCGATTTGCACAGAGGTGATCAGGCATGTCACAAGAGAATGAGGGTGGAGGGAGGGGGAGCAGGGGACTCTTGAAAAGTTACAAAGGTTTGGTCCGTGTGAACATGACTAGGCCAGCTTTGTCTTCTTGCTGGCAATTTCAGAAGTGAAGATTCTACTTTGGTAGGGAGACAGAGACCCTATCCTTCCTGCTGGTTACATTTCAGGCGAATGACTTTCAGACCCTTGAAAAGATACTCTTGAGTTGTGGGGGATACATACATCTGGAAGGTGAGCCAGGGGCCATGGGTGAAGTCAGAGTGGGGTGAGGGCCTCCGGAAAAAAACAAGACAGGATATTTGCAGTCAGAGCAATGTAACTACATGCAAGGAAACCCCTCTACTGAAACTCTGTGTTAAACATTCAGCTCTAGAGTCATTCTTCAGTGAGATCAGTTGGTGTACCCCAGATAAAGAAGAGTAGCACATGTTTGTTTTATGCTAATCATTTATAATCATGTGTAAGATTCACTTTAACATGCTAAAAGGCCCAGGCCTATGCGCTATCTTTCCTCCTTCAGATCAGATGAAGTGATTTTGCAAACTGGGCAAACTAATTTAGCATGCAAGCCCAGCCATAACACAGTAAAAGGCAAGAAGGATTCCACCTTAAAGAGAAGATTGCACATAACTTACTCTTTAGCAAACAAAGCCTCAACCCACCTTGGGGGCTGAGCAGGTGGCCTTGTTTCATATGCCCCCAGACCAAGATGCTGGTATCTCAGGGAGAAATCAACAGAGCAGGAGGGTACTTTTATCAAGTTAATTGTAAATATTCTGGGACCATGTAATAAGTCCACACCCCTAAGCTTTTTCTCATGTTCTCGAAAAATCCCCATCTGCCTATAAAAGCCCTAGACAACGTACCACCCCGGACTCTCTGTCCCCACCTGGCGTGAGCCGGGAGGTCTGTCTAAATAAAAGCTTGTACCTTGCTCTCCTACCTTGAGTGTTTGTGAAGCTCATTCTTCGGCTTTGTGAACAAGAACCCCAGCATCAAAGGGACAGAGGAAGGAAGGATTCACAATTGTAAACCCTTTTAGTAAGTGCTCTAGGAAAGGGAGGGCAGGGGCCTACCATCAGGTGTAGGACAAACAGTAAATTATTTTAACAACCCTGAGCTTTTCCAGGCAGGAACTCACAAGCGGGCTGGGGAGTCCCAAGGATGCAGCTTTTGGGTGCTAGAAGCCTTGTGAAAGTTAAACAACTGATTTAATGCGTATACATAAAGGGGCGTGCGTGTGTGAGAGACGGAGAAGCACTAAAGTAACTGTGCCAAAATGTGACTAATGAGTGAGGCGCATGTGGAATCATTGCAATATTTTAATAACTTCTCTGTATATTTAAAATTTATTTTCCAAAATAAAATATTTAATTTAAAAAAAAGGTCCTTCCTTAAGGCAACAAACAGCCAGGCCACAGAGAAAGACTAGGAAGGTAACAGACACCAGGCAGAGTCTATTTTAGTTCTGCCCTGAAACCCAAGGAGAGAAAATGAAACTTAGCATTCTGTCTGCTTCCGAGTATCACCGCCCCCTCCTTCTTAGGAGATCATGTTTACCCAAATGGATATAATGAGGGAAAGTCAATCTACACACCTTAAAAGCACATTTATGATTTATTTTTGGAATCATGCAAAACAAAATAAAATTTAAAAGAAAAAGAAAAAACATTTTGACGAAATGCAAAAAGGAAAACGCCAAAGAAAGGGAATGAGCAAACAAGTCAGATGAACCCCATGTGTTTGTAGGGAGTGAGGTTTGTAAAGAAGGACTAATACTTCATTAGTCATTTATTTTTTTTTTCTTAAAACATCACATGTCCTTATCCTATGTGACAAACCATGTCCTCTTTCTAGAAGAAAAATTAGCATCAGGTTCTATACATTGTTTCTCATGTTGGACAAAAAGCTTTTCTCTAAAGTAGCTTTCCACAGCTCAACAGAACTAAATTACCCCGTAAAGTCAGCCAAGTGTCTTCTCTGTGACCAAGTTTCCAGGGAGAATCTTCAAGTGAGACGGGGTGGCAAGCCAACTTGTACTTCAAATTAAAAAAGAAAAATGGAGAAAGAAATTCAGCTAATGAGAATTTCAGTGATACTGAAAATATCCCACATTTGCAAGGTACAGAAATGCTTCTCAGGACTCAAACTTTCTTTTGATACAAGTACTAAGCAGTTTCAGTTTAAACTTTCTTGCGCGGTTTTGAGAAATCTTTCAACCAGCGCTTTCCAAGAGCACGGTCTCGTCAGACCTTGACATTGCCGTTTCTGATGAGCAACGAACGGTTCCCATTCTCTCCCGTGCTGCTCACCGCTCCCCACGCGGTCGCTCTTGTGCTGGCCCCGCAGAGCAGCACAACAGAGGAGCCTCATATCTGCGTGCCACGTTTCATCGAATCTGCAAGCCATCGGTTTTAAGATACACAACTTAAGAAATTATATTATCGCATTAAGAAAAAAAAGACACTACAAAGAAACGTGTACTGGAATCCTGGGCGCACGGAGTAGGTTGAAAGCACCGCACACATCTTTAAGACTAACAAAGTTGACATCAACATTTCTCAGATGTACAAGGTAGCGATGGGAAAAGTACGCGCACTAGGAAATCCCAGGTGCGGGGCGGTCACCACCGGTCAGCGCACAGCGGAGCCACAGCTCTGGCTGCGCTCGCGCGGCGGTCCCGTCCCTAAGCCGGTTGGCTCCGCGGTCAGAAGCGCGGCTCCGCGCGCGGCGAGACCGCGCCGGCGCCCCGTCCGCGGGCGGCCCGCAGTTTCACTTTCCGTTCGGCAGAAACGAAAGCCGCGCGGCGGCGGGCGGGGCGCTCCTATCGGCAGCGCGCCGGGCTCCGTGGACCCGGCGAGCGGAGCCGCTTCCGAGTGTCCCCAGCAGCGGGCTTGGCAGCGGAGGGTTGACGCTGTGGTGTGGCAACTGAGGCAAGTTTGGTGCTAATTTTGGCAGCTTTCTTTCCAGGAAAGACATCCAGCGGGGTTCTGCTCAGATGCCACCTGGATAATTAAGGAATTTATTTGGGTTCCGCAAGTTATAATAACGGCCTATGTTCATTACATATGTTGGACCAATTAATTTCTTTCCAAGCTGATATATTTGGACTTTTTGCATGACTTCGTGTTTTATTAAAAGGAAATTTAAAAAGGGTTGCCAGCTTGGAAAACAAAAACAATGCAGACAAATGTGTAAAGTAGAAGCAAATCTCTTAATCTGCAGCTCAGTATCGTTTTTGTGTATATTTAACCAGAAATTTTCCTAAGTACAAGTGTTTAAAGTTTGCTTTTTTCCACTTAACAGTATATTATGGGTATCTTTTCATGGCAAGACGTATAGATATGTCAACCTCATCTTTAAAAATTGGTGCATAATACGAGAAGTATGTCATTCATTTAAACAATTCATGGACATTTAGGTTGTTTCCAGTTTTTGCTGGTATAAATGACACAGCCATGAATATCATTTTATGTACACATTCATGTAAATATAGAAATATATTTGTGAAAAATTCCTGCAAGTGGAATTGCTTGGGTCAGTGGGCATACATATTGAGAAATTGGAAAGATTTTGTCGACTTGTGCAAATGAGAGTACTTTAGCCTTAATTCCTCACCTTCATCCTTTCCCTTTTGCCTGGAAGAAAGCTAAATTTGGACCCTTAAACATCAAATTCCATTCTACAACCCCTGAAAATCTGGGTTCAAAGTGTTTGAAATTAAAACATTGGCTTTAACTGATTGCTTTACAGCATTAAAGTAGTTATGATTTGAAATTGTTGCAGAAAACAAGGCAAATATTTTCAAACATTTAAAAACATCTCTTTATAGTGTATATCGTGCAGAGTGAGGCAAGGTTAGACCTAGATATCTAGATTATCTAATGTGTTGATGGGAACAAAATGGGTAGGAGAGAAACAGCTCCAGCTTCATTTATAGAGCACTATCAAAGAACTAAAAAAAAAGTGTTAATATTTCTTCCTTTTCCACTTAAAAAAATGCATTGCACATTTTTGGCACTTCAACATGAAGATGAGTTCGCAAAGGGGAAAATGTTTGACATGTACACAGCCTCCAAGAAGACGCATCCTAATGCTTTCCACGCTGGCTGTTTCTCTTGGAGAGAATGGGGATTCCTTCCTATTTGGGGTTCATCCAGTGAGTTCTAATCTGCGTGTTCAGTGCAGTACCTCAGGACACACTCAACAAATGATTAAGTAAGGTCTAAATTTGTGGCCGCGATGGGTTGGATTTGGAAGACTGTGAGGTGGCTTGTATCATGTTCCAGGCATGTTAATTTTGTTCCTCTTAGAATATTTAAAGATGGAGTCACTTTTCCTTGTAGAGAGTCTAGCTGTTAGACACCAGGCCCACTCTCGTTTCTTGCATCACATTGTTTGCTGTTTCCCTGAAGACCCTCGTTGATGCTGTGGCTACAGTCATGCTAGGCCTAAACTAGCAGCTGCTATCATTTGCATCTCCCACTTACTTTAAGGGAAAATTTTGGGGAGGGTGGAAGCTAAGTTCTTTGGAACCAACACAAGTTTGTCTTTTGTATTTTTTTCAAATGATAGCTCTCAATTTTTTTTACTAAGTTATCATTGATATACAATTTTATGAAGGTTTCACATGAGCAACATTATGGTTACTGGTTACTACATTCACCCTTGTTATCAAGTCCACCCCACACCCCATTGCAGTCACTGTCCATCAGCATAGAAAGATGCCACAGAGTTGCTACCTGTCTTCTCTGTGCTACACTGCCTTACTGGTGATACCCACACACAACTGTTAAGATAAATTCTAGCCGAAATAAGCAGGCAAAGAGAGGCAACAAAGGGCCAGGTAATTTATTTAAATACCCCCGGGTGAAGTTCTGTGTCCTTTTTGTCAGAGGCCAGAGAAGTCACACCTGGTTAGGGAGGTGGGGCTCTTATAAGGAAATAGGAGGGGAGGAGTGGGCAAACTATCTTAGGGGGGTGTTGAGAGGTATGAATGGCTAAAGGTGACATAATACTCAACTAGAAACTTTTTTCTTTCCAAGAGTGAGGAGGCTGACGACATCCGGGTCTTAGTTGGCACATCAGGATGGAATTCAGGGAGAGCTGTCCCCTTTCCATATAAGGCACGGACATTGGGGTCTGGTCTGTTCTCCCCCTGTGGCATCTCACTGTTCTGTTTGCATGTGCTTGTTTTTCCTTTCTCCAGCCTAACAACAACGTGTACCAATCATAATGTCCCTTAATCCCCTTCTTCCTCCCTCCCCTCCCCCCCTCTCCCCACCCCCTTACCTCTTGTAACCTCTAGTCCCTTCTTGGAGTCTGTGTCTGCTGTTGTTTTCTTCCTTCAGTTTTGCTTCGTTTTTATACTCCACAAATGAGGGAAATCATTTGGTACTTGTCTCTCTCCACCTGGCTTATTTCAGAGTATGATATCCTCTAGCCCCATCCATGTTGTTGCAAATGATAGGATTTGTTTTCTTTTTATGGCTGAATAATATTCCATTGTGTATATGTACCAATCTTCTTTATCCATTCGTCTACTGATGGACACTTAGGTTACTCTCATTTCTTGGCTATTGTCAAGAGTGCTGTGATAAACATAGGGGTGCATATGTCTTTTTGAATCTGAGAACTTGTTTCCTTTGGATAAATTCCTAGGAGTGGAGTCCCTGGGTCAAATGGTATTTCTATTTTTAGTTTTTTGAGGAACCTCCATACTGCTTTCCACAATGGTTGAACTAATTTACATTTCCACCAGCAGTGTAGGAGGGTTCCCTTTCTCTGCATCCTCACCAGTGTTTGTTGTTTCCTGTCTTTTGGATGTTGGCCATCCTAACTGGTGGGAGGTGATACTTCATTGTGGTTTTAATTTGCATTTCCCTGATAATTTATAATGTGGAGCATGTTTTCATGTACCTGTTGGCCATCTGAATTTCTTCTTTGGAGAATTATCTGTTCATATCCTGCACCCATTTTTTAATTGGATTACTTGCTTTTTGGGTGTTGAGGCCATGTGAGTTCTTTATATATTTTGGATGTCAACCCCTTGTCAGATATGTTGTTTTCAAATATATTCTCCCATACTGTAGGACGCCTTTTTGTTCTACTGATGGTATATAGAACTACTTTGCTGTATAGAAGCTTTTTAGTTCGATGTAGTCCCATTTGTTCATTTTTGCTTTTGTTTCCCTTGCGTGAGGAGATGTGTTCAGAAAAAAGTTACTCATGTTTATATTCAAGAGAATTTTGCCTATGTTTTCTTCTAAGAATATTATGATTTCAGGACTTACATCCAGGTCTTTGATCCATTTTGAGTTTACTTTTGTGTATGGAGTTAGACAATGATCCAGTTTCATTCTCTTACATGTAGCTGTCCAGTTTTGCTTACACCAGCTGTTGAAGAGGCTGTCATTTCCCCATTGTATGTCCATGGCTCCTTTATGGTATTTTAATTGGCCATGTATACTTGGGTTTATATCTGGGCTCTCAATTCTGTTTCATTGGTCTATGGGTCTGTTCTTGTGCTAGTACCAAATTGTCTTGATTACTGTGGATTTGTAGTAGAGCTTGAAGCTGGGGAGCGTAATCCTCCCAGCTTTATTCTTCTCAGAATTGCTTTGGCTATTTGGTGTCCTTTGTGGTTCCATATAAATTTTAGAACTATTTGTTCTAGTTAGTTGAAGAATGCTGTTGGTATATTGATAGGGATTGTATTGAATCTGTAGATTGCTTTAGGCAGGATGGCCACTTTGACAATATTAATTCATCCTATCCATGAGCATGGGATGTGTTTCCATTTATTGGTGTCTTCTTTAATTTCTTTCATGAATGTCTTGTAGATTCAGGGTATAGGTCTTTCATCAACTTGGTTAGGTTTATTCCTAGGTATTTTATTCTTTATGAATAGCCCTCAATTTTTTAGAGCAATTCTAGGTTCACATCAAAATTGAGGAAAAGGTATAGAGATTTCCTACATACCCCATTCCCCCCACCACATACAGACAGCTATTATTAATCTGGAACCAGAGGAACATTCATTATAAATGATGAGCCTGCATTGTTATTATTCAATATCCAATCATCGTGTTCTATGATAGAGTTCAGTCTTGGTGGAGTACCTTCTTTGGCGTTGGACTTATGCAGGTACCCACCATTATGGTAGCTTGCAGAGTAGTTTGGACTGCCCTGAGAATCATCTGTTGGGAGCAGTTTTTTGGTCAGTGGTTGAGTTTGGAAATTTACTTCCCTTGGAATATATCCATCCTTTTTTCTGTGTCAGGTGCCTGTTGCCACCTGCTCAGCTCCCTGCGTGTTTCCTGCCCCCTCCACCTTCCCCTGTCTTTGTTCGCTGTCTGAGTGCTGCTTCCCTTGCTCTTGTAGCCCCACCTGCTGGCCTCCAATCTCTGATCAGCTCTGAAGGGGCCCCTTGGGATTTGGCCTGCCTGCTTTCCCACACCCCACTGGGCTTTATTGCTGTTGGCTGAGTGAGTACTTTTGAGGTGTTATAGAACAATGCCTCTGGAAGACAGGGTCTGGCTCCTTTGTACTGTGTTCTTCAGTGTGGTCCCCAAATCCTAGTCCTTGCTCATGGAATCAGCTGCTGTCATTCTCTGTCAGCTTAACTCTCCTAGGCTGAGCCTCATAAGAGGAAAAACTGTTTAATGACTCTTGAAAATAAATATATACTAAAAAAAAGGAGCTGTTTCTGAGCCATTTAACCTGAATTTATCAATGTAGGCCATTTATATATTTAGTTCTTCCCAATATTCAGATGTTTGCCTTTCCTTAATATTTTGTAAAATAATTAAGAAAAATAACAGTCTAACACTTCTTCTCATACCTAATTTATTAATCTTTTTGGATCTTGGAATAAGAACACCATTGCTAACAAAGGCTCCCTTACAAGATATTAAATCTATATCCTAGAAGAATTACTGTTTAAAATTACATGTTAATTCTCTTAGAAGAAGACAGGCACTCTTCTTGTGTGAAGAGATGCTTTCAGGAAAATGTTGCTCATGTTTATATCCAAGAGATTTTTTTCTGTTTTCCTCTAAGAATTTTCTGGTTTCATGACTTACATTCAGGTCTCTGATCCATTTTGAGTTTACTTTTGTGTGTGGGGTTAGACAATGATCCAGTTTCATTCTCTTGCATGTAGCTGCCCAGTTTTAAGATGCCCCTTACTTTAAGCCATATCCTTTTCTCTTCAGTAAACTCAGTTCCAGACCAACCTTTTCCATGAACCCTGTAATGAATTTAGGTCACTTCATTTAGCCACTGAGTCTTGCTGGGACTCTCACACCCCACTGGTCAGAGTATAAACTGGTGCAAGACATTTAGCAACTTACATTAAGAACCATAAACTTTGTATGCTTTGACCTTGTCGCTATGGCTCTAAGAATCTCTCCTAAAACCTTGATTTAGTGGCTCATCATATTGATGGTCAAATTAAGTTAGAGGGCTGTAGGTTTATTTGCACGTGGACTGGGAATGATTGAGGAATCTTCTTTCCTCTGTGCCCCCGAGTGGAGAGATGAGCTGTGTAGAGAAGGCTGTATGGTTTATGTTCCCAAGCTTAGACCAGGGACAGCAGTGGAGACCCTGAAGAGTGGCTGCAGGCTGAAGTTGAAGCCCTTTCAGAAAGAACTCACTGAAACCAAAAGGCACAGGTCATGGGAGGAGCTGGTACATACCTCACTTTCACATTGAGACCCTACTTGGAGATACACAGAACCTTCTAGCAGTGACCACTGTGTTGGGCAGCACCTTGTAGACACCCAGTGGACACTGTGGCAGGCAGTGGCAGAGGACAGTGGTTGTGACCTTCCTCCAAAACACATGAGAGATTTTTTCTGGGATTCGAAAACATGCTTGAGGAGAATTCACAGGCCACTGAGGTCTGGGTTGTGAGGAAGAAGTAAACAACTAGGGGAATTTGCCTATTGTGGTTGACATAACCTCATTTATAGCTACAGTTTTGTTATGTCTATGGACCTTTGGTTTGCATGAAGAAAAATGAGATGGGTAGAGAAAAGTTTTATGCCTAGAAATGTTCACTGTAAAACTTTTTATGAATGCAAACAACTGAAAAACAACCAGAATATTCCACAATGTTTGATTGCTGTATCTGCCATCAAAAAATGTTTTTAAAGAACTTGTAATGACTTGGGAAAATCTTCTTATAATGGGAAATGGGAAAAGCAGTATAATATTAACCATATCAAAAATGCATAGCAAAGAAGATTGAAAAGATACATACCAAGTGGTGATTATGAGGTTTATGAGTTCTGGTATAATGAGTAATTTATGTTTTCTTCATTATACATTTTGCGAATTTTCTTCATAAGTTACCATTACTTCAAAAATAACAATATCAAAAAGTGTAACAAAAATCTCAAATACATGTGTATGTATTTGAATATATATATTCTCCTCACCCCTTGTTTGTGTGTCTAAGGGGACTGTCCTCTCTGGGAACAGCAGTGATTTCTCCTTCCAACTGCCCCATGGTAATTCTCCAGAATGCATAGTTCAGTGGGACACATTTGAATGCTTCTGGTTGAATTAAAGTGAGTGTCTAGATGGAAAAATCATAGGCAGATGGAAAAATCATAGGCATCAGGTTTGAAAATGAAAGCCCCCCACCCCCTCCTTCTTTCAATGGCTGGCCCAGCCTCTGCTTAAACACCTACATGAGGGACAATGAGGGACAAGTTACTGCTGCTGGAGCTGGCTTACAAGCTATGAGGAATTCTTGTTTATTTTGAAGTGATACCTATTTCTTTGTAGTTTCTTCCTATGTTTCTGTACCTTAGGTAGACTGATGCCCCCACCATGCCCCAGGACAAGAAATCTAATTATGTCTCTTCTACGTGATATCTTTTTAGATATTTGAAGACAAGTTTTGTTCCATGTAACTCCTCATTCCTTCATCCATTCAGTGGTTATTTATTGAATATGCACTGTGCTAGGTGTAATGGAAGCAGTTGAAAATACACAGTCCCTGCCTTCCAGGCCCGCAGAGTTTAATTTAGTATCTGAAGTCAGACACTGATGCTCGAGATGTGTATGTGGGAGGTGTAGTGGAGAGCACCCCCAGGAACACCCGCCGAGCAAAGGAGGGATGGGCAGAGGGAGGAGCTGAACTGCCAAAGGTTGCAACAGAGAACTCAAGCTGGGCTGGGTGACCTTCAGAGCTACTTCACCCGAGGCAAGGCCCTAAGGCTTTCAGATCCCCTGGGGAAGGGGCCTGTCCTGCGGCAGGAATCTGGGTGGGACCCCACCATCCACTGCAAGTGCAGAGATAGCTGTTCCCCACATTAGAATATAATGGACTGATTATTTGAATAGCTCTAAGTACAAATCCCACCGGCGCATAGAGGAGATCACTGCCTGCCTGAGGAGCCTGGACAGGCTTCCTAGGAGGTCAGGGGTACAGACACCTAGGGCAGTGCTTGCGAGCAGCCTTTAGGCAGCATAACTGCCAGCCCTTAGGAATCATTTGGGCCTGGGAGTGAGGGGCAAAGAGACACCGTTTTCTGGTCTGGACATCTTGGTGACTGTCGTGCTGTCTGCAGGAGAGAGCACTTGGGAGGAAGAGGATGTGGCAGTGCACTCTGGCGACTAGAAAGTGGGCATGTGTGGGATGCAGGGTGGGGTGTCTGGGTCACACGCTCATTTCTAGCCCCAGAGCTTTATGAGCCAAGCATTTATCTCCTTCCAAGACCCTGGGCTCAGTGCTGACCCCATGCATGTGCTCTCCCCTCTCTCTCATCCTTGCCTCTCTGCCGTGTGTTTCCACAGCAGTCCCGCCAAGGCTAACTTGAGAGAGCTCTTCCTGGACGGAGGTCTTGCAATCCTGAAGACGGGCAGGCACCGGCAGTCTGGGGACTTGGGAGTGACCACTGATGGGCGAGGTGTTTGGGGTCCTGAAGATAACTGCTTGTCACCCTGGCTCAGTCTCGGCATTTCTTGGCAGCGCCCACTGAGATGCAGGGAGAGACCAGCACCATGAAGAAGAAGCCGGAGCGCCTGGCGGAGCGCCCCAGCGTCTGGGGCTGCCCTCACGGTCACTACACCTTCCTCTTCTCATCTCGCTGCATGGAAACACTTTGCTCAGCCACTCCACCCCAGAGTGACAGAGCTTTGTGGTCAATGACTCCTGCTCTCTTGCACCTCCATTTCTGCATCTGTGAAATGGGAATAGTTCTGAACGAACAGGCTTGTTGGGAGGAAAAAAATGAGATAATTTGAGGAAGCTGCTTTAAGCCAGTGATTGGCATATTGCAGCACTTAGCGTTAGTTCCTGGCCTTGCTGTTAGACCTGTGTGCCAGTATGTCCGGAGGCAAAGTGCTTCTGTAGGAGCAGAAACCTGTGATCACCTGCTTCCCTGGGTTTTCACCTTTCATGTGCTGTCTTATGTGCACCAAAGCCCTCTGCCCAGGAGCTCTTGAGAGGAGTGGCACTCCCTCCCTCTTAGAATGCTCACCTTGTGGGGCCTGCTGAGCCCCTGGTTGGATTGGGAAAGGACAGGCCGGTTGCCAGTGGTCACCGAAATGCTGTCTTTGGGTTTTCTCATTATCTTCGTAAGTTCCTTCTGGCTTCCAGCCTTTCAAAGTGAGTTTAATTAGCAGATCCTTCCCAGAGTCGTCTTCGGGTTTCTGGTACAGGCCAGCAGGGGCCTTTCCGCTGGAGTCCAGAATAGACTAGCTGGTGGGTGACCCTGAGCTCCAAAGGTGCTCAGCCGATTCAGCTATGCGAGGACCAGCCTGAACAGTTCGGAGCCGTGACTCTCCAGTCGCGCTGCTGTGCTGTTTTCCCTGGGCTCTCACAACAGTTGCTTGTATCATTTCAAAATGAGTAGTTAACAATGAGACAATTAAATAAATCACTGCTAAAATACACTGATGTCCCCTCATTTGACAACGGGTAGTGCACCTTGTTATGGCAACGCTCGCTTCCTATGGACTGTGAAGACTTACTGCTTTTTCACTTTTCAGTTTGTTTGCAAGCACCTTAGGGAATGCCTTGTACCTCTGAGTGTGCTTTACAGGAGTTCATGTCCTCAGTAGATTCTAAAAAACGTTTGATTCTTGTTAAATCCCTTAGTGAGGCCTTGCCCTCAGTGTCTTTCTTCCTCTACAGGCCCCGTTGGTTTACACAATATTGGAGAGACTTGCTGCCTTAACTCCTTGATTCAGGTGCTGATCATGAATGTGGGATTCACCAAGATACTGAAGAGGTAAGACTATTATTCAGGCTGGTAAACATGTATATCATTTTATGTTTTCAAATATCCAGTTTGTCACAGTGACTTGGACTTTTAGATGTCTTTCAAAAATTGCCACAGAAAAGATCTTGTTCTGCACAGTATATACTACATGTTATAATCCTTTAAGAAGTTTTACAAAATATAAATGCCTGGTCCCACTCCCATATATTTGATTTCAGTTAGTCTTGGCACTGGTACTTTTTAAAAGATTCCCTATGTGATATTGAAGTGTAGCCAGGGTTGACAGCCACTAATTTGGTTAAAAAGAAGTTGGGATTAGACCAGTTTCAAAGGAGGAATAAATCAGTGGGCAGGTTCTTGAGTCTTTATATTGATTTTTCTCAAACACACACACATGCACACACACATACACAGACACACACAGACAGACACACACACACACACACACACACACACACACACACACACACACACACACAGTTTATGTATGCACACTGTTAACCTTAAAAATAAAAGTTATTTTACCAAAAAAAAAATGGGTTTATTCAGGAATAGCAGAAAATTCTGATTTAGGACATGCAAGCTGCAGCAAAATTACAGGCAAATCCTGACAAAGGAGAGGAAGCTCTTACAGAGGAAGGGTCGAGTTGGGAGAGCTGTTCTAGCAAAAAGCCCATTGCGATAAACTGGGGGTTCCAAGTGTCATGGCTTCTTAGGGCTGGACTGTGCGTCTCTCATTGGCTGGGCTGTTGCTGTGGGGGAAGCAGAGACCTTCCTCCTGCCCTGAGGAGTATAGCAGGACTGCCTTGCAAGGTCCTTCTCTTCAGGTGGGGTCTGCAACGGACACATGCGTTGGGGTGTGACATCGCCCCCTGCGGGCCTCCAGGTGCCATGTCAGTGAGGTTTCCCTTCATTAATTCTCACCCCCCAACACACACCTTATCATGAATTCTTTTCTGCCCTGTGCTTTCTCCTTTTCCCCTTCTATTGGCATGGGAAGTTGAGATATGCCTGTAATTAAATAAATCACTGCTAAAATACACTGACATAGTGGGGACTTGATAATGGGGGGAGTCTAGTAACCATAATGTTGCTCATGTAATTGTAGATTAATGATACCAAAATAAGTAAGTCAGTAAGAAAATAAACAAATAATACACTGACATCCCTTCCTGCTGCCCTCTCTTCCCGGGATCTAGATCAGTGTTTGCTTTTTCACTTTGGAGTGCTTGTCCATTCTGCTGTGGGCCCGGAAACTACTGCATACGCCCTTTATTTCAGTGTGGCTGTCCGGTAGGGTCAGGGGAGGGGTGAGGCGGTAGGTGTGCTGACCCCCCTAGAGAGGGTATTCTCTGTAGCTGATTTGCTAATATGGTGGTTCTCAACCTTGTCTGTACATTTAAATCTTCTGGGAAACTTAATTCTGATAACTGGATCCCACTACCAGGAATTCTGATTCAGCCAGTCTGCCGAGGGGCCTGGACATGGAGATTTTTGGCAGTCCCTCCAAGTGATTTCAGTAAGCACCTAGCACTGAGAACCAAGGGATAGGGAGGGTCATGGCTGTTTTTATTTGGCAGGATAACAGTGCCAAGGGGAGCGGAAGAGCAGAGGAGAAGTGTCCCCTTCCAGCTGCTTTTGCTGCTGGAGAAGATGCAGGACAGCCGTCAGAAAGCTGTGCGACCCACTGAGCTTGCCTACTGTCTCCAGAAGTATAAAATACCAAGTAAGACAGCCCTTCGAGCCCTGGCTCCTGGACCAGTGCTCCAAAGGGGGGATGGGCGCTTGCGAGGAGGAGGGAAGGGTGGGGCGAAGAGGGACCAATGGTCAGTGAGTGAACAAGAAAGAAGATAGGTAGCCTGTGGACCCCTAATACTAGAAGCATCTGTGCAGACCTGGAGTATTTTAGAGCCCACATTTCACAGCCAAAAAATTGGTATTATTTATACACATACTACTATCACACTCATTCTTTTTCTGCCTTTCAGTGGAGTAAATAAGCCTAAGAGTCTTCTCAAAGCTGATTCCGCTGTAGGTAAAGGATCCCAGGAAAACAGAATAAAAAACTAACAAGGAGAAAACAGTGTTTTATAAAAGTAAGCTCATAAATAGTTTAGTTTAAAAAAACAGGCTTTTTGAGAAATATGTCAAATATTATAAAATCCACCCATTTAAAAACATACAATTCAGAGGTTTTTAGTGTATCCACACAGTTGTATACCATCACAATCTGTATAACATTTTCATCACCCTAGAAAGAAACCCCATACCCATTAGCAGTCACTTACCATTCTTCTTTGCTTTCTGCTGGGTTTTATACTTTTAGCTCTTCATTTAGATCTTCGTTTCATTTTGAGCTTAATTTTTGTGAACTGTGTGAGGTAGGGTTCCAATTTCATTCTTTTGCCTGTGGACATCCAGCTGTTCCAGTACCATTTGCTGAAAAGACTACTCTTTCCTCATTGAATTGTTTGGTATTTTTGTCAAAAATCAATTGACTATAAAAATAGGTGTTTATTTCTGGACTCTAGTTCTATTTCATTGATGTTTAGTCTATCCATATGCTAGTATCACACTGTCTTGATTATTGTAGTTTTGTAGTAAGTTTTGAAATTGGAAAGTGTGACTCTTTCAATTTTTTTCTTTTTCATTAGTGTTTTGGCTATTTGGGATTCCTTGCATTTTCACACAAATTTTAGGATCACCTTGTCAATTTCTGCAAAAAACCAGCTGGGATTTTGATAAGGATTGCACTGAACCTGTGGATCAGTTTGAGAAGTATTGCCACCTTAACAATATTAAGTCTTCAGAACTATAAATATGGAATGCCTTTCCACTTATTTGGGTCTTTAATTTCTGTCAAAAAATGGTTTGTAATTTCAGTGTCTTGAACTTTTTTGCTAAATTTATCCCTAAGTATTTTTTTGATGCTATTGTAAGTGGAATTCTTTTCTTAATTACATTTTTGGATTGTTCATTGCTAATGTACAAAATACATTTGGTCTTTGTATATGGATCTAGTACCCACAACCTTACTGAGCAAATTTATTAATTCTAATAGTTTTTGGTAGATTTCTTAGAATTTTCTATATATAAGATCATTTCATCTGCAAATAGAGATAGTTTTACTTCTTCCTTTATAGTCTGGATACCTTTTATTTCCTTTTCTTGCCTAATTTCCCTGGCTAGAACCTCCAGTATGCTGTTGGATAAAAGTGGCAAGAACAGATATCCTTGACTTGTTTCTGATCTTAAGGAAAAGCATTGAGAGTTTGATAAGTAAGTGTGATGTCAACTCTTTTTTCATAGATGGACTTTATCAGGTTGACAAAGTTCCATTCTATTCCTATATTGCTGGGTGTTTTTATTAGGAAAGAGTGTAGGGTTTTGCCAAGTGCTTTTCTGCATCAGTTGAGATGATCATGTGGTTTTTGTCCTTGTGTTACATTGATTTTTTTTTGGTGTTTAGCCAACTGTGCATCTCTGGGGTAGATCCCAGTCAGGCATGGAGTGTAATCCTTTTTATATACTGTTGGTTTTGGTTTGCTAGTATTTTGTTAAGGATTTCTGTATGTATATTCATAAGGGTTATCGGTCTGTGGTTTTCTTGTGATGTCATTGTTTTTGGTATTTAGAATAATATAGGCCTCAAAGAATGAGTCAGGAAGTGTTCCCTCTTCAATTTTTTGGAAAAGTTTGTGAAGGGATACTTCTTTCACAAACGTCCTTAAAATGTTTGGTAGAATTCAGCCATCTGGACCTTGGATTTTCTTTGTGGGAAGCTTTTAAAATGGAAGATTCACTCTTCCCTGGTTACAGTTAGTGTTCTTCTGTTTCAGTCTGAAGAACTCCTTTCAGCATTTCTTGTAAAGCAGGTCTAGTGGTGATGAAATCCCTTGGCATTCGTTTGTCTGGGAAAGTCTGTGTCTGTCCTTCATTCCTAAGGATCAGCCTTGCTGGATAAAATTTTCTAGATTGACAATTTTTTTCTTTCATCACTTTGACTATGTTATCCCACTTTCTCCTAGCCTGTCAGGTTTGTGCTCAGAAATCCAGTTATGGGAGCCCCTTGTAAGTAATGTTTCCTTTCTTACTCCTTTTAAGATCCCGTTTTTCTTTGATTTTTGACAATTTATTATATAGTGTCTTAGAGAATATCTAGTTGAGTTGAATGTCTTTGGGCACCTATTAACTTCATGAACTTCCATGTCTAAATCTCTCCCCAGGTTTGAGAAGTCTCAGCCATTATTTCTTTAAATAAGTATCTGCTCTCTTCTCCTCTCTTCTTCTGAAATTCTGTTAATGTGTGCATTGTTTCTCCTAATGGTGTCCCATAGGCTTTCATCATTCTTTTTCAATATTTTTGCTCCTCTGACTGGATAATTTCAAATGATCTGTCTTCTAGTTCACTATTCTCTCTTCTGCTTGGTCCAGTCTTTTGTTGAAGCTCCCTGTTTAATTCTTTAGCTCATTGTATTCTTTACTTTCAAAATTTGTTTGGTTCTTTTTAATGGTTTCTATTTTTTTGTTGAACTCCTATTTTTCTTGTATTACTTTCCTGATTTATTTGATTATTTAAATCCTCTGGTATCTCTACAGGCATCTCTATGACAATATTTTGAATGATTTTTCAGGCAATTTGTGTATCTCCATTTCTTGGGGATCAGTTACTGGAAGTTGACTCTGCTCCTTTGGTGCTGTCATGTTCCCTTGGTTCTTTGGGATCCTGGTGGCCTTCCACAGGTGTCTGTACATTTGAAGAAATGGTCACTTCTTCCAGAGTTTATGCACTGATTTTGTTTAGGGAAGACTTTCACCTGCAGCTGAAGTGTTCTGTGATCCAGGTCAAGTGTGGGGTGCCAAGTATGGGGTGTGTGACAGCTCTGAATCTGGGTGGGGGGTGTAATGTCTCATTGGTACAGGCTGCTGGAGTCTGTGACCTTAATAACTGTGTGGTCTCTGCAGAGAGCTGTGGAGGGGGTTCTTAAGTAGCAGCATGGACTCTTGGGGGTCCTTGGTGCCACCTCCAGACCCTGTGGCTATGAGTCAGGGCTTGTGTGCACATGCTTGGCTGTGGGAACCAGTGGCAAGTGCCTGCACAGTGGAAGGGGATGGCAGCACACACACATAGTGCTGAGTGCTGTGACCAGCTGCAGGAGCTGGGCCCACTGTGGGCACATGCACAGCTGTGGGGCCTTTGCTGTCAGTGCGTACTTCTGTGATTGTGGGTTATCATCATGGGTATGTGCTTATGTTACAGGGGAGGCTGGTCATAGAATCAGGATGGGAATGTGCAGAGGCTAGCTGCAGGCAGTCCAAGTGGTAGAGGGCAGACAGCAGCTGGGACCAGTCCATACCTGCAAGCAGCTGTGTGGACCTGCTTGTCATAGTGCCCTTCTGGGGCTGCAAGATCTTACCCTGGTCATGTGGAGGGCAATGGAGGTTGGTGCTGAGAGGCCAGCAGCATGCAGGTGCACAGCTGCAGAAGTTAGTTGCAGGTCATCCCAGTGGTGCAGGCCAGTGATAGGTGTCAGAGTTGGACCCAGGCCCAAAGGCTGCTGGGTGACCTTGGCTGCTAAGCATTCAGGTAGCTGCAAGGCTCTGCCATGGGTATACATGTGGCAGTGGAGGGTGGTGACAGGGTTTAGACTGGTGGGTGCAGGTGCACAGCAGCAGAGGCTGACCATGAGTGTGTGAGGGAGTGGGAGACATTCCTGAGGGTCTTGGCGGGCTCCTCATTGTGTGCAGTTACAGAGGCCAGGGCTGGCTGCCATGGTGGATCCCTGGCTCTGGTGGGAGTTGGGGAAGGTAGTGGAGAGGGACTCAAATATTGGTGTCTGCAACTATGAAAACCTGTGGGGCAAGAGCCTCCAAGGTGAGAGAGTCTCTGGTGGCTGTGCTGGCCACTTTCTTCAGTGGCCAAGCTGCTGGGGTCCTTGGAGGAGCTCACTGGGACCTATGGTTGCACCTGCTTCAGGGATGATGCCGGCATCCATTCCTGTTACTTGTCTCCCCAGCCCTGTAGGATCTCAGCTCCTGGCTGCTAGGTGGGGTGGGGCCAAAGTGGGTCCTCTATGCAGTCCCCTTTCAAGGTGGGGAAGCTGGGCCCTCATTCTGCTTTTCAGGGAACACTTTTCAGCTGGGAGGTTCCCTCTTGGCACTGAGCAGTGCTGACCTGTAGAATGGGACAATGCAGGCAAAATGAAGCTCTTCTTCCTAACCTTTTTGTGTGGTTATTCTCAGGTTTTTCCACTGTGTTGCTGGAGTTTCTTGAGTGGCTCGTGAGCTCTCCCAGAGCAATTTGCATTCATGGATATCTAATTGTTGATTTTTGTGGGGACTTGGAGGCTGGGGTCTCTTACTCTGCCACCTTGGTGAAGCCACTGTCAGTCCCATTGCTTTTTATTTCATATGGATTCAAGTTACCATGTAGTTTCATTTGAGCTAGAAGGACTTCCTTTAGTATTTCTTATAGGGCAGGGTTTTAGTGATGAATTGTCTCAGTTTTCATTTATTTCAGAATGACTAAATTTCTTCTTCATTTTTGAAGAGGAGTTTTACTGGATATAGAATTCTTGGTTGATGGCTTTTCCCCCCACCTCTTCGAATATGTCAATCTATCACCTTCTGTTCTCTATAGTTTCTGATGAGAAGTAAGCTGTTGTCTTATTGAGGATTTCTGGTGCTATAATCTGAATCGTTGGGTCCTCTCACAATTCATATGTT